TCCGCCGCCGCGGCCCGGCCGTGCTCGCCAGCCTCTTCCTGCGCGCGGAGAGGACTGGCATTGTTCTCCCGGGGCCCGGGAGGGCGCTAGAGACGAAAGCGGACGGTGCGCCCGGGCTGAGGAAGGCGGGCGCGACTCCGCTTGCGCGCAAGAAGCAAGCGACACATTCTGCTCTCGGCTTGTGCGGGGTTTTTGAAAGTCTTGGCGCCACGCCCCAGCTCTCTCGAGCTTGCGGAGCAGTCTCCGGGAAGATGCCCGCGAGCCTCGGCGGTGGGGTCTGAGGAGAGTACGTCCCCTTCTCTTGAACACCTCAGAGCGTCTTGCTGCCAATCAGCACGGTTGCTGGGCTAGGAAACCCGCGCCACACAAAGCCCCGCGCCGTGCCTCGCTCCAGCTCTGCCACTGAGTTACTCGGCTGTCCTTTTTGCTGCGGCCTCGGGCGTGACCCCTCCCACCTACTGCCCCACGCTTTTGTCGTGGCAGGATCATGAGGTCCTATTTTTCCAGAAAGCAGGTCGAGGTCCTTTGGGAAGGCCTCGCTTTGACAGCGTCTCCGCCCCCGCGCGTCGCGCAGCCAAGCGGGCGGGTGCGGCACTTAATTGCCCCACGCCACGCGAGGCCCGAGAGGCTGGAGCAGCCGGCCAGGGCGGGGCATCCCTTCCCTTAAGGATCTCACTGAATCGGGGGGTGGCGGGGGACAACCAGGGTTTCCCATGTGCCCTGCTCCCCATGCTGGATGAGATGCACGCCCACCAGGCCCTGTCGCCACCGAGCCTCTCTCCCATGCTGAAAGTGTCTCTCTAGAGACCTTAGTCTCTGTCTCTGACGTAGTGGCCGGGCATCTTCATCACCACCAAAGTAAACAGTAGCTGAGTAAAAAAAGCTGGGTGATTAAAATTGCTAACGTAACCTCAAGCTGACCCCATAGTCACCTTCTAACCACGAAGAAATTCAACAGCAGCTTCAGTTGCTGCTTCCTCTAGTCCCACCCCAGAAGCCAAAGATACTGAAAAATCCAGGTGTCAGAAGATGCAGATCCCGCCTGAAGCTCAGGGCCACACTGACAGAATTTCATACATTCACAGGTTTCTGTGGTGTCATCACCCCCACACACACCAAAATTGCCCACCCACGTTTCCACGGTTGTGGGAAACCATTATCCTCCAGTTTAATGCCGATATCCTCAAAAAGCTCCTGTCTCCTGCCCTATCCCAAGCATCAGGAATGGTGTATTTTCATGCCTGCTCTCCTAACATGGAAAATCCAGGCGACCTGCCGGAAGCTCCCCACTCCCACCCCGGCTCTAGAAAGCACCCCTCTCGACTTAAACAGGAGCTGTCTCCTAGCTGTGTCAACTCCAGAGGCTGCAGCTTGGCCTTCCTCTATGAGGGTCTCCCGTTAGAGCTCTGTTTTCTTGTCTCTCTTCATGAAAGGACTCACATCTATCAGAAGGAAAGAACTGGTCCTGGAGTGAAGCTGTGTTGATTTACTCCTCCCTACATAAATACACTCCGCAGCATCTCTCCAGTACTCTGATGAGAGGGAACTCAGACCAAGCCATCCCCCGAGGGAGGAGGCTCGATGCTCACCCACTGCCCCGGGCACCACACTTTTCCCAGCCTGTGCCCTTTGCCCATAAGTCTTTTCTGTGTGGCTGGTGTGCGGCTCCCTGGCACCAAGGGGATGCCCCTGTCTGCTTTTATTTAACCCCCACAGCTCCTCTTGTTTCTCTCCACCTTATTTTTTTACCCCCTAGGTTCTTGAGCCCCAGCTCTCTCTCATCTAGCTGCCCTTGCATTCCCCTCCACTGTATCCAGCTCTGTCCTGCCTGGAATGAATTGATACAAATTTGAGCCTCAGCCCCAAGGTCACCTCCCTGGAAAGCATCCTGAGAGAGGTCAGATTCCCCTTTCTGTGCTGTGATGCCACCCTCCCTTGGTTCCTCACACCAAACAGCCTGGCTTGGAAGGCCATGAACCTCTTAAAACAAGTTCAGCACAGGCCTGCTGAATGGGCAGCCTAACTGTGGAGGCCTCTCTTCTACTTGGACCCAGTTAGAGTGGAGTTGTGTGTGGGTGCCATGCCAGGGTATGAGATTAGTCCTCATGGTCTGTTTTAGAGTGGCCTTGAGTGGTGCTGATGTAGGAAGACAACCAAGAAGGGCTGTGGGACTCCAAGGAGGGAGTCCACGGGCTTAGAGGGGCAGGGGCCTGCTGGAAGGTTGTACCAACCTAAGAGGGACAAAGTTCGAGGAATATATAGCGTGTCAGAGCCATGAAAGGTGGGGTAGGAGAGGGGCCTGGTCACCATCTGCTCAAATGGAGATATCCACTAGGCCCTTCCTAAGCTGGAGTTGTAGACACTGGAACAGGAGGGCCTCAGTGTCTTCCTACAGGATTCCTGTGAGTGGATGAAATCCCAGGAGGACTTGACCCAGTCCTTCCTTATAGGTGAAGAAGCCAATGGTGAGAAACGGTGGTACCAGCTGAACTAGCCCTCACCAAAGTGGTGGGCATGGAGGGCAGGAGCTGAAGGCGTCTGGCTCCCCATATCATAGAGTAGTAGCTTGCAAATGTCCACCTGAGCCTACAGTTTCCAGACTCTGTCCTTGGAGGAGCTCGCCATGCAGTGGCAGGGTTGGGGAAAGTGGGCTCTTGAGTCAGACAACACTGCAAATCCCAGGCTTCCTGGGTTTGCCAGCATGACCAGAGACACACATCATCCTGTTTTCAGCTTCAGTTCCCCTCCTAACCTGGCTCTTGAGAGGATCAAAGTCTTTTTGGTTGAGGAAGGTTACCCATAGCTAAGGGAAGCCTAGAACTGAAAACTAGATGGGTTGAGGCTATGTTTATGTGGAGTGTGAATCAAATCATTGAGGGACCCTGGACCAGGGGTGCAGGGTGGGATGGACCCCAGTTCTGCATCTCAAATCAGCCAGGACTGCTCCATAGTCCTGCAGGGACTTATTGCATAGTGTCTATGGATCACATACCCAGCCCTGCCCGCTGTCCCTGGGATTCCTGCCACCTGTGGCCACTATTCTGTGACCACCCACTGAGCCCAACTGAAGGGCTGAGGGAACCACCAGCCTCCTGGAATCCAGGGCACAGCAGGCCCCTCTCTTCCTGGCAGGTGCTCAGCAGAGTCTCAAAGTGGGACAAGAGGCAGTCAAAGGGGCTTTGGGTCAGGTTGGCAGAGAATAGGCAGCAGTGGACCAAGCTGGACCAGCCACCTGTGACTGGTGCCAGAGGCCCTGTTGGAACAAGCCCAAATTCTGCAGAAGTGTGAGCACAAAGTGTGAGCAGCTTTACTGGAGTTAAGCCAGGCCTGCTGTGAGCTAATGCTCACAGAAAATGAGTCTCCCATCTTCTCACCAGGTCCTCCTTGCCCACTGCTCTCCACCTGGGCTGGTGACCCTCAGGACCCAGGTGACAACCATTTTCTTAGCCTCCCTGCTCTCTAGCATTCCATAACAGAGTCCCCAGTCCTCTTATTGCTATCCTGAGCTCTGGAGCCATCTTCAGATACAAAGAAGAATGTGTGTGTGTGTGTGTGTGTGTGTGTGTGTGTGTGTGTGTGTGTGTGTGTGTAGGACCAGACAGGGGTGCAGAGTGCATGTCTGAAGCTCTGCAGTAAGAGATAATAGCTGAGCAGCCCACCTTTCTTCCCCACCCTGAGCTGTGAGCCACACTCCATGTGTACAAGCTCATCAGCTGGGCCCCTGGCTAGGAATCTGCTTTATCAGAGGCTGCAGACTATCCTGTGTGTGGGGTTGGGAGGATGAGCCAGCACTCCTCAGCTGCTCTGCAAGTCTGCTGCCTTCAGCATTCTTCCCAGAAGGTGGAATGCTTTCTGGCCTACCAGGAGCAGGAGAGGCACCTGCTGCAGGGACAACAGGAGTAAAAAGAGACAGAGGCCAGAAAATAAGTGAGGGTGGAGACTGAGAGGAGATGGGAGTGGGAGAGGACAGGCAGACAGCTCCTACTGCAAACACTGGTGGGAAAGGCACAGCAGCATTTGGACCAGATGTGTTGACAGCCTCATGGCCCAGAATCTAGCCTAGAGACCCCCAGGGTAAGGATGATACCAGAGCTCCTCCCAAATGGATGTATGGCAAAACTCTGCCCCCAGCTCTGTTACAACTTCAACTCTGCCCTGTACTTTATTCCCTGTTCTTCCTTCTTGATGCAGGACCCAAGGAAGGAGTGCAATAAGCAGGCTTTTAGCCAGACAGAGGGATACCCTTCTTAATCTCTCACTGTTTAGTCCAATCTCCCCTGGTCAGACAGAAATTGAGACCAGACTGTAGATGCATAATTCAAGTTGTGGGGAGCTCCCAGTCACAACGTGCCCCTTGAATGGGAGAAGACCCCAGGATTCTGTACTCTATATCCATAGCAGATGCCGAGGCCTGGCCTGCAGATGCAGGAGCAGAGCTGTGATGATGACAAGGCCCAGATGCCTCGGGGCCCAAGCAGAGTCTCCCTGTGGGTAGCTGAGACCTCTGCCCTGGCTCCCGAATGGCCTCTGCAAAAGCACCATCTCATGCTCGCCCAGGTGGGTTAAGACTCTTGGCAGGAGACATAAGAATACAGATGGGCCCCAGCACACATATATATGCCTTGGGGGAGGGACAGAGAAAGGAGGGCCTGGCCCTATTCCTGGGGGCTTCTAGGCTGGGCAAGGGTTACTAAGAACAGGTGGGAAAGAAAGTGTCAAGGAGAGACAAACTAGAACATGCCTCCATAGTGTAACTTGAGGAGGTTCATCTATAGAACATTTCCCACAGCTGGCCCACTCTGCTGGTGGGGAACCCAGTACAGGTCTAGAGGGGAAGTTGGTCCATGGAGATGTTTCTACAAGTGGAATGGTGGGAACACACCACCTGGAAGGTTTGGTGTGGTAAGGTGAATAAGAATGACTCCCCAAAGGCTCATATATTTAAATGCTTGCCTAGTCAACAGGGAGTGAGTTACGGTATGATTTGAAAGAATTAGAAGGCACATGCCTTTAATCCCAGCACTTGGGAAGCAGAGACAGGAAGATCTCTGTGAGTTCAAGACCAGCCTGGTCTACAAAGTGAGTTCCAGGACAGCCAGGGCTAGACAGAGAAACCCTGGCTGGGAAAAAAAAAAAAAAAAAAAAAAAAAAAAAGCCGAGTGTGTTAGGAGGCATAAAGTTTATTGGAGTATGTGTGGCCTTGGCCTTGTTAGAGGAAGTGGACTTTGAGGTTTCAAAAACTCACATCAGGCCTAAGTTATGCTATCATTCTCTTTGTCTCTCTGTCTCTCTGTCTCTCCCCTTCCCCTTCTACAGCACCATGCCTGCCTGACTGCTGCCATGCTCTCTGCCACCATGATAATGGACTAAGCCTCTAAAACTGTCATAAGAGTTGCCTTGGTCATGGTATCTCTTTTAGCAACAGAAGAGTGACTAAGAAAGTGTTCCCAAGAAAGAGTGACTCAAGGGTTCAGGGAGGAG